GGCACCTACGATGCCGCGGAACGCGTGCGGCAGGCCGACATTCTCACATCAATGGAGCCATACATCCTAAAGGTAAGGCTGAGGCTTGTAAAGCTATGCATCATTACACCCAGAATTGATCAAAGGATATACCTGTTTAAATGTAGTGTTCCTACAATGCATGGCCTCCTGTGTACGAGATAGGAAAGCGGAAAAGTGCGGTTTTTTGAAAATAGCACCTCGGACATGGCATACTGGGGTCAATTTTGAACCTAGCAACATAAAGTGTTTCGCCAATCACGAGATCTCCATGACATTATGCCACTGATATGCTCTGCTATGGTTTATCTTCCCAAGGTTGGGAGCTGCAGGGGAGTGGCATGGATGCCCTGCTATGAGGCCATGTCATGAAAACAGGTGGCCAAGGTTAAGGTCTAAGAGACTTGGTTCTCCAAGATTGTGAATGGCTAAAACATGATATACTATGCCACATGATAAAACAAAAACAGTCTTGGGAGAGGCTAACCACTGCAACTCAGCTTCAGGAAGAAAAATGACCAGCAGGTGCAGTAGAATGCAATATGACATTCTCATCTCAGTTGTATATTGGCATAATTAGGCACAAATTTTCTGCATCTTTTTAACAGATGCACACTAGCAACTCGCCTCCACTGACATTTTGTCATTCAATTTGCATGGTAAGTGAATTATCAAATGGATGAATGATAAATGGGATGTTTCTAAACTTTTCCAAATGATAAGATCAAAGCATCCCCAATGTGCATGGATAAGCAAGGGTTTTGCACCTGCCACCCAATGCGCATCAAGTAAAGGCTGAGGCTGGGGCTAACTATCACTTGTGACAAATAATGCAAATTCCTATAAATCCACCAAATGGCACACATAAGATGCAGAATGTTAGTAACTATACTATTTTATATGCATACACACACACACACACACACACACACACACACACACACCACACACACACACCCACACACACACACACACAACACACACACACACACCACACACACACACACACACACACACACACACACACACACACCCGACACACACACATACAACACACACACACACACCCACACACACACACACACACACACCACACACACAATATATATATATACTATATATATATATATATATATATATATATATATATATTATAATGCTGGTAACTACAACTATTTTACAGATGGGCTATGGGTGTAAAATATACTCACTCAGGGGTGAAAATGCCTCAAACTGTTACATGGGGCACAGCCAAAAACTTATTGAGTTGAAGCTCTGTGAAAATGTACCTCACTGACCTTTAAGTTTATGTCAGGAGCCATCTATGCTAAAAAAAAATGCAGACAAAAGAGAGGGGGAGAGGGAGGAACTGGCTGAGTCTGTGGCATAAATTAAAGTTATCATGTGAGTCCAGTGAAAGCTGCTGGTCAGAGCCTGGTCTGGGCTCTGAGGCACATTTCTGCTCATTTTGGTGTTTTGAATAGGCCTGTGGAGAGCACCAAGATGGAGAAAAGAATGAAGCCAGGACAATTTCACTCCTACATATTGCTTGCTGATGACTTGTACTGACAAACATTACAAGCAAAAGGGTAGCAACGAAACCTGCTAAACACATCCCAACCTAATTTCTATTCTACAAAAGGCAGCAGCCCATTCAACATACTGAGAGCAGGTTCAACAGTGCCCCAAATATGGCAGCCAGGTTCTCTGCTTGGGGATAGGACTGTTTATCTGAGGGCCAGGGGAAGAGCCACCAAGATTTTCATGATGATCTTATCTTTATTATCAATATCTAATTACCCCTACTGTTCTATCTTTCAGAAGGAAAAAAATCACACCAAATTAGCCATCCAATATTTTAGATTACACCTTTACTACACAACTACAAATCACAGATGTAAGAAAAAGCACCAAACTTTTCACAATGCTCACTGTAAAACTTCACTGCTGCAGGAGAGCTGATATACTGATCAGTTATTTGCAGCTGATTTGACTGTTAAGCTCAAGCATCAGAAAGTGACAAAAAAAGGAAAAGTCTGTTGCCCTTCAATGCACCATGTTTGTTTTTATCTAAGCACTTTAATATAATTGGTGAATATAAGGTTGCTGGGCAAAGGTGTGGTTTCATATTTGGTTGGGAGAATTCACCCCCCCCCCAAAAAAAAAACTTTGAAAAGAAAGTGGGCCAAACCAAGGGAAAGACCCATTGTTAGGACATTTTGGAGGTTTCTTCATTTTTACTCTTCAGCCCCCTGCCTCCACCAACTCATTTTTCAGTACTACATCTCTGCTACAAGGTCTCAGACAAACCAACGTGACAGTGATAAGAAGGCTGTGATGCTTCTATGGCTATGCAGTACAGTTATGCTGCAGCAATGTTAACTGCCCTATTCCTTCTCAATCATCATTCCTTCACTTTTTGCACACTATTATGTATTTTGTGGTTTAATCCAATCCTTGCTTCTGTTCAATATCTGTCATAAGGTGCCACCAGCACTCTCAAAACAACACAATCTTCTCCAATTGAAGAAATTCTGGTCCAAAATACCCAAAACCTGTCCAAAGATGACTTCTTGCCCTAACAACCCCACACAAACAGGATCTCATAGATAAGACAGAGCTAATAATCTTACTCCTCAGAGAAATACCCAGAGAATGGAGAAACAGATTGGTTCCAACTAATCACCAATATAATTCTCTATTCTCCTGGTTCTTCTCTGAGGAATAAGACTATTACTGCTGTCTTACTTATGTGAACGATGTTCCTTGTGAATGCACTTAACAACTTACAAACAAGATCTCCTTAAGCCCTGCCATATCCCATCAGCTAGCCCTTTTAGGCAGCTCAACTAATTTATCAACTGGACTATCAGGGCTACTTAACTGATAACACTTTAGATACAGCACACAACGAGCATGCTGGGTTAATGGAATGTTCCTAAAGTTGAGGGCAGGTAATAGTTTTTGACCATCTTTCTTGTGAATGCTTGATTTGCTTGATGCTTGCTTTGCAGTGCTTGCTTCATTTGCAAAGAGCTCACAGCTTAAACGCCTGACTCCCCCAATCTTCTTGTCACAGCATATATGGGGGAACCACAACTGACGGCAGTTAAGAAATTAAATGAATATGCATCGAACGACGCAATGTGCTAGTGATCGCTGCATCAGTGGACTGCGTTGAGAATGTCTCCGCTGCGCCAAAATTGCTTGCATGGAGCAGCGTCTAACACAATCCATCACCCAACCCCGGCATAGCAAAACATGGCAAAAAGCACGTATCGGCAAATTTCTGGAGCTACCTATATGGCTGCCGCGTAACACAAAGACCATGGCGGGAGGCGAGGCACTGAGACTCACGAGATGAACTCCATTGCGCACCTACCGTCCCAACAGGAACCATAAACAAACAAGGCTTGGTGTTTGGGTACCGGTAAATGCGAAGAACACCTGTGAGCACCAGCTGACGGCATGACGTCAATGTAGCCCTGTGTTGATTTAACACTGCCTTCTGACGTGTAAACAGGCCCGTGGTTACGCGGGTGCGCTTGGTACCTGCACATTCCCTGGGATCTGCAGTGCGCCCCCCCCCCCCCTTTCAGCCTCCATTCATGCAAGCCTTGTACCTAAGGTAAAGCGGTTTATTTAGACAGGGATTTAAAAAAGGGTAAAGGGGTTTGTGTCAGATCTTAAATGCGTAAGACAGTGTAAGGTTTTGTGTCGAAAGGACACCATTTTAACTAGCTTACTTTTATTGCGCGGGAGCTGCCAATATTCGTCTTTATCTCTAGGCTTGGGCAGATCAGACCCAAATATGAAAACCAGATCCAGAAACGTATTAAAAACAAAAGACCAAAAAAGGCCCAGTCACATCTAATTTAAGATGCCCAAGCATACATACACACGAAAGTGTGCAAACAAAAGTTTCCGTCGTAGTCACATGATTCAAATCACTGCCATTCGATAGCGAACTTGCACACATGTGGGAGAAACGTAATTCTGTAGCACAATGCGTAATTTCACCAAATTGTTACTGACGTGTCTCCAGCATGGCTGAAAAGCAAAGAAAACAAGAAAAGCAGTATGATCCTTGATTTCAAGCACTCAAGCTAAACGGCGGCTTCCCGTTTCGCGATGTTGAGCGAGCGAAGGGCTTGCAGAGCCCGCTCGGCGAGCTAACTGATTGGTTAGCCCTGGGTGCGGCTAGCTTACACGCAGCACGCCTCAAAGGAAGCTTAGGGCAAAACCGGTATCATGATTCCAAGAAATAATTGTACGACTCATCCCCGCGTATTGCTCGCGAACGCCTGGCCTGACGGTTGGTTTGAGGATCACACGCCCTGCTGCCTGCCTCCGGGCCAGAGGGGCTGACGTGTTTATGCGAGGTGCTAGCCCAACAGTATCTGGGCCGTGGAGGCAGGTGGGGGCTCGCACGCCTATGACCGTGTTTAGTCAGTCCCGTGACAGTTTGTGTGAGGTTCACACTTCTTGCCTAAACGGCCAACTCTGACCAAAACGTCTGAAACGTGATCGTTTCAAGGCCATGTATTTGTCAAAACCTAACTTGTTTACACACTCGACATCACACTCCGAGGCACCAATGCATCCAAAGTACGTGTCGTAGCGCCTCTCGACCATCCGCATGGGCATTCGCGCTCCAAGTCAACGCATACCTCGCAATCGGGTGCGTAGAGAGCAGCAGCAGGACGACCTCAGTCGCAACATCCACCCGCCCAGCACCGTCTTAGTTTGGACCCCCGACGGTCGCAACATAGAACCCAGCGGGCGGACAGCCCCAAAGGCTGCCTAGGTTAGGAGGCGTCCGACCGACAATATCACACGGCACACTGCACGCTCCCTGAAAGTCTGCACAGCAGCGCGCCGGCGCGGGACAGGCTGCGCACCGAGTGGCTTCCCGGCGCGCGCCACTGGACCTCGAGGCGGACGCACAGCGTCCCGGACTATGGCTGACGTCATTCGGGGGGAGGATCACGCGGACAGTGCGCAACGGCAACGGACCAAGTCGTCCAGAGTAGGTCTGCTTACGTAACGCCAGCAGTTTAGCTCCCTGCACGCAAGGATGTGCGTTTCGAGACCTTTTGAACCCAGGGTCATTCGGGACTCAATTAGGTAACCACGGCCACGAATTCCACCGAATACCACCGAATAACGGGCCCATGCAGTGACAGCGCGCGTGGTCCCGGACCAGGGCAGCCAGCCGTGTGAACGGGCCGCGTCAGGGCGTCGCATTCGAGCGTAGGGTCTTCATGAAACTGGTCAGGTCGTACTCCTGCCTCGTACTGCTCTCCTTCCCACAGTTCGGGCAGCGACTCGAGCATGGCCTTGATGCCCCGTGCCTCGGGAGCGCGCGACCCGTCGGCCGCGCCGCCCTCCTTGCGGTGCGCCTCCAGCGTGAACAGGTCGAACAGCTGTTGGAAGATGAACGGGTCAGGGTCCGACTGAAGCAGGGTACACCATACCAGTCCCACTTGATCAAGACACGCCCCCGTCCCTGCACACCCAGACGCTCAGTGTTGGCTGCAACTTGCTGGTTAGCAGCATCCAGATCTGCCAAATAAACCCCGAAGAGCTGGGACTGAAAATCTGGGATTTCTCCGTCATGTCCACCGCAATCAATTGTGCGGATAGTAAACATGAGCGCGTTAAACACAAACACCCCACTTGGGTGGTACTCGTGGTTACCGGCGTCCGGTACGCCACCACTCTTCTGTGCGTCAGCCTTCCCAAACGTGCCACTATCTTGTAGGATCCCATAATTCCAATGAAATAAAGCACAAGAGTAAACGTTCTCAGTAGCTTAACGAGGATAGTCATCACGTTACGTTTTCATGCAACGTTCCAAACCAGGGCCACACACATTACACGAATAACTCTTTTAATAACTCGAATAACTCTCGAATAACTCTTTTAAGTTCAACTCCACAGGAGTTGCGGCATACTACACTGAGCCAATCATGGCTAGGTGTGAAGGGTTCATGGGAGAACGACAGGCTGATATACGCAGGCCCAGTCCCTTTTGCACGCGCTAGACCTTTTTGACCATGACAACCATAAAAATATTATTTCAAACAGAAAGGTTTTCAAGATCACTACATTTCGAACAGTCGAAATATTACATTATACATTAATGGAACGCGTGAACGGGGGTGTTTGTGGAAGTACGCTGGTCTAGCACACCCAAGCGCCTGCGTGGATGTTCCATGTGGTACTCAAAACTTCATGTCGCATACCCTTCTGCAGGTTTGCGAACCCACGTCAAAGTCAACGTCAAGACACATGCCCCCACTACGAGGCAATATTCGCACCATACAAGAGCAGGAGACGTGCGTTTATCGCCCTGGGGATATGCGGGGCAATGCGCACCGGATACACACAAGGACGCCGCACGCCACACAGGTGCCCACACAGTAAGACACAGGAGCGCGGCGCACGCACCTGGTCGGTTCCCATGGTGAGCAGGCTGCTGTTCTCGCTGGTGATGACAGTGTTGGCCGTCATGAGCTTGAACTTCTGCAGGCCCATAATCTTCTGCTCGAGCGTGCCGCGCGTGATCAGCCGGTACAACGTTGACCACGCGCCGCTGGCCGATGCGGTGCGCGCGGTCCATCGCCTGAAGGTCCTTCATCGGGTTCCAGTCGTGCTCGACGAAGATGACGGTGTCGGCGCCAACCAGATTCAGGCCCAGCCCGCCCACCTGCGTGGTCAGCAGCAGGCAGTCGATGCTCGGGTCCGTGTTGAAGCGGTGCACCAGGCCCTGGCGCTCGCCCGCCGGCACAGCGCCGTCCAGCCGCAGGTACGTCACGCCCGGCAGGTGCGCTGCAGCAGGTCGCGCTCCACAATATCCAGCATCGACTTGAGCTGGCAGAAGATGAGAGCCCGGTGCGGGTGCACCACGTCGACGGCGAGCGGCGCCGCGCCCGCCTCCTCGCCGATGCCCAGGTCCAGCAGTAGCTGGCGCAGCGCCACCAGTTTGGCCGAATGCTGGATGTGGTCCAGCGTCGAGTCGTGCGCGCGCAGCCACTCCTTGACGTCTGTGTGGCTCGGGTGCTGCTCGCTCAGCACCAGTTTCGGGTGGTTGCACACCTTGCGCAGGTACTGCAGCGCCTGGAACACGTGCGCCGGCGCGCGCTCGCTGCGGCCTGTTTCAGCGCTCTCCAGACCCTCCACCAGCGAGAGCTGCGCCTGCGAGCAGCGTGAACGCCTCGTACAGCCGCTTCTGCACGTCAGACAGCTCGCAGTAATAGTCTTGCGTGATCTTGGGCGGCAGGTCGTCCAGCACGTCCTCCTTCAGGCGGCGCAGCAGGAAGGGGCAGCACCTGGCGGTGCAGCGCCTCCATCGCCAGCGCTCCGGCCTCCTGCTCGCGCGAGTTGGCCTTGGCGTCGCGCGACAGCAGGATCGGCCGGCTGTAGCGCGACGTGAACTGCTTCTCCGTGCCCAGGAAGCCAGGCATCAGGAAGTCGAACAGCGACCACAGCTCCAGCACAGAGTTCTGCAGCGGCGTGCCCGTCAGGATCAGCCGGTGCATGGCATCCAGCTGTTTGATGGCGCGGGCCACCTTGGTCTTGCCGTTCTTGATAATGTGCCCCTCATCCAGAATGCAGTAGTTCCACTTGACGCCTGAGAAGAAGTCCAGGTCGTTGCGGACGATGTCGTAGGAGACGATCACCAGGTTGTGCTGCGGCAGCCGCGCCTGCAGGCGCACCCGCTCGTTCGGAAGGCCGAAGTAGTGCAGCGGGCTGAGCTCGCTCGGGTCAACGAACTTCTCCACCTCGTACATCCAGTGGCCGGTGAGCGTGGGCGGGCACACGATGAGGGAGGGCAGCAGCGCACCCTCGGCGCCGCCGCCGCCGCGCCGCAGCTGCTCGCGTCGGGCGGCCTGATCCACCGCCAACATGCAGAGGCTCTGCAGCGACTTGCCCAAACCCATGTCGTCGCACAGCACGCCGTGCAACTGGTACGTGTTGAGGAAGGCAAGCCAGCTGACAACCGCGCCGCTGGTACGGCCGTAGCTGCGCGCGCACTGACGCCGGCACGGCCACCTGGTCGATGCAGGCCGGGTCCATCAGCTGGTCGAGGAAGCGGCGCTCGGCGCGCTTCAGCTCGGCCAGGTGCGGCGGCACGGCCTCGGCGCCGCCGCAGCCCGGCTCCAGCGGCATCAGCTGGATGATGGCGGCGAACGAGCGGGACGCCAGCAGACGCACGGCCGTGTCCCGGTCCGACATTCGACCTGGCGGCACGGCGCCCGCAGTTACCGCCCACCGCCACCGCACGCCGCGTCGAGGAGCTGCACAGCTTCACAACTCGAGTGTCCTCGGGGCAGCGCTCTCAACCGAATATGTAAAATGGAAAGGAACCCCAACACGCGCAACCCGCCAGCACCAGCGAATCAACGGGGGTTGAAGTTTGGCAGACATGGGTGGCCTGTGACCACGTCCCACTAGTTACGCACACAGCCTCACAGAGCCCCGGCGCTGCCTCACCGAGCACGAACTCATTAAGCACTCCCACCTCACAGAGCTCCCGGCGCTGACTCACCGAGCACGGGCACGACGAGAAGAACGATATAGGGCAGCGCGTCCATCCAGAGCGAGTCGACTAGGCAGCTGACTGCTTCTATGGCGCCCTGGCGCGTGGCCACGCTCGAGCCGCTGCCTGCAGGCGGCCGAACCACGGGCGGTTGTCAGATGAGCACCACCGTCGGCCGAGCGCGGCGCGCGCCCGGCCCGACACCACGCGGGCCAGAGCTTAGGCCGGTCGCGGCACAGCGCGCTGTGTCGATAGCAAGCCATCTATCTTAATAAAGGAAGGCGACACACGGTCGCCGCGCACCCTTCATGGAGGGCTCGCGACGGCAGAAGCTATTTAAACGTCCAAGGGCCAAGACGCGACCGGGGTATGAGCCCGGTCCCCATACCGGGGTCTGAGTCCGACCCCCATGCAGGGGCCTGAGCCCGGTCCCCACGCCGGGGTCGAGCCCGGTCCCCATACCGGGGTCTGAGTTCGGTCCCCATGCGGGAATTGAAGGCGTCAACCGTTCGGGCATAAAGCCCCTGATAGCGAGCCACACACAGTCCCCGCTATTGCATGGTTCCAGACACACTGAGCTGATCTCACGCGCACGTCAAACAATACAACGCACAGGAGTTTCATCATCCGCCGCCTTCCGGTCTGCGCACGGGAGTCAAACATGGGACTTGGAGCAGGACAACATAGTAATTTTGCAGATGCTTTATCACAGCTTACTTTCCAAAGAGTGCCATGGTAGGATGAAGAATCCTCTACCGGTCAGTTCCAAACGAAAAACAGGTCCTGTAATTGCACATGATTGAGTAGATACTTAACAAGAACACTTATTCTCACGAAGGTGTAACATATATATTTTGGCAGTCAGCTTTTGACAAAACTGGTCAAAAGCGGACTGATAAAATCTGGTTTGGTCACAAGCAAGGTTACAAACAAATTTACGGTCTGCCCGGCGAAGTGCTAAACTAGCTGATCAGAAGTGATTGTGGACGGAGGGCGGCAGCCCAGCGGAGCGTTAGGGGCCAGCTGGACCGGCGGGCGGCGCCGCCCCGACTGACCGAGCAGCGGCAGCACGTGCTCCACGAGGTAAGTGGCGGCGCAGTGCAGGTCGAGCCGGGCCAGGGCGGCCAGGCAGCGGGGCGGCCATGTGGCGCACCGCCTTGTGGCCGTGGCACAGGCAGTCCCGCAGCCGGTCCAGCCGGGAGAAGCGCCTGCCGCAGAGGGGCCGCGCCATCAGAGGGTACCCTACTTGACTGGTCATCTCCGCTACCAACAACGCAGCCACCGCTCGTGGTGATCACAGGCGCAGTAAAAGGGCTGAACCAAATATCCCACATGAAACCAAGTGAAATCAAAAAAATAAAATCAAACGAAATCAAATATCAAATATAACAAATGTGGCCTCGGCCATGTTGAAGTGCTTAAATCACATGCCCCGGTGCTTCTGGCAGAATTAGCTGTTGAGATCTTTCAATTAGCCAACAGCACCAACAATCAAATCGAGGACACGGTTATGCCTAATCGATATTTTCGCATCACCTGCCGTGACTTGCCTTCAAACATCAGTACCCCGGGAGTCTGCTTCCATACCAGATGGTGTATGTCGGGATGCAACGCCGGCACGATGACCTCAGTGACCATGGAGGCCGTTGATGAGGTGCTGAACGGCGTGATCGGGCGGCGGCACGGTGTCCAGCTGCGCCAGCGACAGCTCCAAAAAGGCAGTCCGGCAGCGCGGCGCCGAAGCGCTGGCAGACCCGCCGTCAGCGCGCGGCAGGCACCCCGCCGCTGCACCTCACGCTGAGCCTGACATGGCGAGGGTCAAGTCAGCACGAGACACACCCTGCCGCGGCACCTCACGCTGAGCCTGACACAGCAAGGGTCACGTCAGCACGAGACACCCCGCCGCTGCACCTCACGCTGAGCCTGACACAGCAAGGGTCACGTCAGCACGAGACAACCCCGCCGCCGCACCTCACGCTGAGACTGACACGGCGCGGGTCAGGTCAGCACGAGACACCCCGCCGCCGCACCTCAAGCTGAGCCTGACACGGCGCGGGTCAGGTCAGCACGAGACACCCCGCCGCTGCACCTCACGCTGAGCCTGACACAGCAAGGGTCAGGTCAGCACGAGACAACCCCACCGCTGCACCTCAAGCTGAGCCCGACACAGCAAGGGTCACGTCAGTACGGACAACCCCGCCGCCGCACCACCTCACGCTGAGCCTGACACGGCGCGGGTCAGGTCAGCACGAGACACCCCGCCGCTGCACCTCAAGCTGAGCCTGACACAGCAAGGGTCACGTCAGTACGAGACACCCCGCCGCCGCACCTCACGCTGAGCCTGACACGGCGCGGGTCAGGTCAGCACGAGACACCCCGCCGCTGCACCTCACGCTGAGCCTGACACAGCAAGGGTCACGTCAGCACGAGACAAACCCCGCCGCTGCACCTCACGCTGAGCCTGACACGGCGCGGGTCAGGTCAGCACGAGACACCCCGCCGCTGCACCTCACGCTGAGCCTGACACAGCAAGGGTCAGGTCAGCACGAGACACCCCGCCGCTGCACCTCAAGCTGAGCCCGACACAGCAAGGGTCACGTCAGTACGAGACACCCCGCCGCCGCACCTCACGCTGAGCCTGACACGGCGGCGGGTCAGGGTCAGCACGAGACACCCCGCCGCCGCACCTCACGCTGAGACTGACACGGCGCGGGTCAGGTCAGCACGAGACACCCCGCCGCTGCACCTCACCGCTGAGACTGACACGGCGTGAGTCAGGTCAGCACGAGACAACCCCCGCCGCCGCACCTCACGCTGAGACTGACACGGCGCGGGTCAGGTCAGCACGAGATAACCCCGCCGCTGCACCTCACGCTGAGACTGACACGGCGTGAGAGTCAGGTCGGCACAAGACACCCTGCCAGACCCCCCTCTCACCCAGAGCTTTGATACGAAAAGGGACCAACTAAATAGCAACAGCACAGTTAAAACTCAGCCCAAACACGTACAAAATGTCACAAGACAACCACTTGGGTGGGAAATGAGATACAAAAGAACCAATGGGCAACAGCTAGACACAAAGGCCTCAGCGGCGGCCGGACATGTTCTTGCCTGGAGTTCTAACGCGGCGTTGTTCTCTTGAGCGGCGGCCGAGGAAGCGGCTGGAGCGGCGGCGCTGACAATCGCTCGGGCGCCCGGGCGGTCTGGTCGCCGAGCCGCGCCGACCCGACCGGTCCTCCTCACTCTGCAGCAGCACACAGCGCACCTCACCGACGCACCCGGCCCGCACACTCCACTCCACCATCACAGCGCCGGACACTTGTCTGATGCGCGCAGGGCATGCTCACGACACGGAGGGAAAACGGGGCACGGTCGGTGGCCGACTCCAAGCCCACAGCCTACCGTACACAGGCTGCGGTGCCACGCAGGGGACGCCACGCTGACCTACGCGGCAACAAAGCTGCACACTCCTCCACAGCGTATATACGGACACGCACGCAGAGCGAGAGTGCTGCGTAACGGACCGACGGCCCGGCAGGGCGAGCCCGACTGACAGCCGGGAGGAGGTGGGGAGGGGGGGGCGTCACGACGCGACTGACCTGCTGTAGCCTTTCCAGGCTGACGATGCCCAGCAGCTCGGCAGGCGGACGGGCGTCAGCCGGGGCGGGGCCGGCGCCGGCCGGCTGGCAGTCCGGGGAGCACGGCGTGCCCGGCCTGCTGTCCGAGCGCAGCTCCTGCCGTCCGACACGGCACACACGGGTCAGTCGAACACAGCCGACACAGCACACATGGGTCAGCCGATCACAGCCGACACAGCACACATGGGTCATCAGAACACAGCCGACACAGCACACATGGGTCAGCCGATCACAGCCGACACAGCACACACGGGTCAGTCCATCGCAACCGACACAGCACACATGGGTCAGACAGCCGACACAGCACACACGGGTCAGCCGATCATAGAAAACTATGGGATCAGAGGCGCTAGAGACGGGTAGCGCACCAGCACACACCACACACCCGGCCCACGATGACCCATTCGGATGTACACAGGGAAGACAGGAAGCCGCCCGAGCCCGCCTCCAGTCACAGATGCAGTAGCTTTTTCACTGCTGCCAGCCAGCTGATGGCGCGAACAGGCCGCAGCAGCGGCGGACTAACCTGAACGCAGGGCGTACTCAGAGGATCACAGCAGCTGAAGGCACAGAGGTTTCTGATGATCTTGGAGACGGGCCCCGACTGGCGCTGGCGGTGCAGCTCCAGCAGGCGGACCACGCCGTCGGCCGCAAGGTCCTGTTGATGACGTCACACGGGCGTCAAACACGCCGTTCGCCAGTGGCAGACGGGCGGCCTCCAGGATCGCCGCACAGGCGGCGGAACGGCACAGTGCACCACGCGAGGGCGCAAAGCTGGCGGACCGCGCGGGCCGGCGAACGGAACGGAATAAATCTGCTGCCGCCGAACATCGCCTGTCCACCTCCGCACACGCCGACCTCGCAGTGGCTGGTCCCATTTTCGGCAATGTCATATAACCAGCCATTCGTCTGTCACTGGGACACGGACAGTCTGTGCCTTTCCGAGCAATACACTCAGAACTGTGCATTGTCAGGGAATTCACAGCTCCGTGGCTGCCTTACTAAAAATGTGTAATCAATATTTAATAACATTTCCGGGTTTATGTGGCTAAGCCTGTGCGACGCCGCATTTTCATCTCCGCGCTTTGTTCGACCTGAAGGCCAGTCGAATACCAGGAATGAATTCGATGAGCGAGCTTGCAAATTAAATGCTGAGTGAGGTGACGTAGCGGTCCCCGGCCCGCTGCCGGCCAGAACGGACCTGCAGCTGGGGGTCAGTCTCGCGTTTGATGCTCTCCATGACGGGCCGCACTACCGGGTTCAGCTTGTCGGTGAGCCGGTTCATCAGAATCACAGCCCGTGCCAGAGCCAGCTGGGTCCTGCCGCAATCACACGCAACCACTATTAGAAGGTGAACAGCACGCACGTCTTCAGATGTGCGGCTCGGTCGGAGATGTGGCTAAGTTCACACGAGCCGAAATCGACACGGCAAAATGCAGAGAATCGGCGAAAACAGGCCAGGGGACCATCTAAGCCAACAGTCTTCCCCTCTGCTCCCGTCACACCAAACACCCGATCCACACAGAGCATGGTAAAACGAGCTGTCTTCCTTACACCTCGCCCCCTCCCTTCCACATATTCACCTCCAGGCCATACATTCATCCACTCCCCATGTAATGAGTGCCGCGTGAGCGGACAGCCCGGCCGGCGGCCCCGTCCGTCCGCCGCCACTGACCTGGTGGACCAGCCGGTGTGGTCGTCGCACACCTGCGCGCCCGAGCGCTGCAGGCTCAGCCGCCGCTCCTGCAGCTTCTCCATCACCTTGGCCGACAGGCGGCTGCTGTTGAGCAGCGCCGCCGACACCGGCCCGGTCAACTGGCGGATCTGCTCGAAACTCAGCACGCGCGCGCTCTGGAAAAGGCAGCCGACAACCAGCTTAGCAGCTCCGCGGCCACGCTCTACAGTCATTTCGTGAAGCTGAGCTATGGCAGACGAACCAGACTCCAGTTCGTGATGCTGACTCTGTGCGTTTGGCATGACAAATACACAAAAATAAAAAAGACTGTCATGTCGCTACCATCAGCTTCGGCGCCCCGTCTTTTTTCCCCTCCCCCCCCCCCCACACCCGCGGAAAGCCCGCGCACTCCGAAGCCCTCCTGGGCTCTTCTCCTGTCCCCCCCCCCCCCACTCACCTAAACGCAACTTGTTCAGCCCGAGCGCCTCCTCATTTGTTCCCCCCCAAAAAAACAAAAACAGAAAAAACAGCAGAGCGCGCGTTAGCCCATCCCAGTAGCCTATCCTGTCCAGAGAGCCTCGCACCACCCCCCGCCAGCCCCCTTCCCCTCCGCCACTGGACCCCCGTCGGCCGCACCAGTCACCAACACCAGTCAGGCCCCTCCCACCCCTTCCGCCAGGGGGTCCCGTGCCGCTCAGAACCGCCCGCTTGCCTGGAAGCCGGCATCGACGGCCAGCTTGTAGTGTTTGAAGCAGAGCCAGGTAGTCGCGGCAGTCCTGCTGCAGCCGCGAAAATCCCACGGCCGTCTCGTCGAAGCAGACCGACTCGGCCAGGCAGCCGTGCAGACGCTGCACGAGCGAGTCGGGAAACTCGAACCGGGGCGCCGCCTGCGCGGACGGCGACGGCCGCTCAGTCAGACGGCCTGCCGCGGCGGCCCGCGGCGGCCCGCGGCAGCCCGCGGCGACGCCGGCACTGCTTTAGAATTACGCCGGCTAACTGGCGCTTGCGCATCGGGAACGCTCAGAATACGTACTATCCCAAGGACATGGTGCATGTCTGGCCGTTGTTGCCTTCGTATGCCACTGGGCTGTAAACAAGGGAACTAAACAAGGGAACGGGAAGGGGTGGCAGGGGAACGGCTGTCCCTCTAACTGGAAAATTGGGATTGGGATAGCTGTCACATAACAACGTGGAGGATGACAGAAGGGTGCGATGTCCTAAGGCCACGTTAGGTTCAAAATATCCAAGCATACCGTCCGCACTTGGCGTAACGCCAGGGTTTCGAGAACTCGTGGTCCTTGACCACAGGCGTCACGAATGGACGCGTGTGAGTGTAGAGGACGGGACTTTTACACTTGTACATTTACACTTGTACATTACACTTTTACATTTACACTTGTCCGCCGTGCGGCACAACAGCTGATGTGAAGACACACACGCGCTCGTACACTGCGCTTTCATTCCCTCCGTAACCGACCCGCGACTTAAGAACCACTCCAGCCCAAGTCAGGCCGGCAAGAGCAGGACCCAGGACTCTCCAGTCCAGCCACACGGCGAGCAGGTGGTCCACGCACGGCTGGTGACACCCACCTTGACCCACTCGGCGATCACGTGGCCGACCACCGCGCGCTGCATGGCAGACAGTGAGGTCAGATGGGTGGAGAGCAGCGCCACATACGTGCTGACGGGCGACTCGACCAGGTACACGGCGCCTGCGGGCAGGACGGTCAGGTCAGGCCAGCTATGCCGCACCGGCGTCCCGGCTGGCCCGACACTCAAACGCCACAATGTGGTCACGGCTGCACCGCGACAGACCGCCGCTTGACCTGGGCTCACATGCACTCAGAGTAATACACTCCGCACAGCGCCGCATATCAGCTGGTCCAATCGGCAGCAATTCATTTGTGGGAAAAACAAACCATTGGGCACTCAACACTACAGCATCTTACACACAACATATCACATCACAACACAGCACATCACAACACATCATCTTAATCAACCTTACAAAAAATTCAGTGGCAGACCACAAGTCGATAGGATTTGCTCGTTTTTTATCAATAATTGCAAAGTTGCAGAAGTTTAAAAGCAACAAAAATAACTTGGAACAAGCACGCAGCGGTTGCGGTCCTACCACTGACAGTTGGAGCACACCCAGCGGATACTTCAGGAAACATAGCCCTTTTCTCCGCTTAGTCTGATAGTACTTTACAGCTGGCGTCGCAAGCTTAACTGTGAGGTTTTCTAAGCCACCAGGATAGGCTGGCTATTGGCTGCGTATATGGCGGCGTCTTAGCCGTGCCATGCAACGCCATTTTGGACTGGTATCGACGCAAAGTCGTTGGACAGTCCGGTTGGTGTTGCTTTTGACCGTGCGTGCGCTTAGAAGCGCACTCTGTGTGTAACATGGAGCACATATGACATTTTCTGAGTATGTGATGCAAGTTTAAGTTGTATGCCTGTATGAATAGGCAGTCGATCTTCAGTGACGCCTCTGTCGGCCTCACCATTAAAGAACGATGTCATCTTAGCGCAAATGAGGTCACGGCGTACTCAGGCTGGTCAAGAGAATACGAACTTTAAACCATTCGGACATACACACACTCACATACAAGTGGACAAGAAAGAGGCCACGGACATGCCAATGCGATTAGATGTTACCCAGAGTCTTGAGTTGCTGACTTGCCAATGTAAGCGTCGTGATATATCACAAGTAAAAAGCATTCGTAGTTGCAAAGCGGCCGCGCAATGTCTCTATCACTCTGAGCTGGAGCCCAGAGAGCGAACACAGGGCAATGGCAGCAGTTCCGAAAAAACCGGAACTGCTGCCAAAGGCGAGCTCTAGTGAACGAAAGGCGAGCTCTAGCTGCCAAAAGCGGAGCTTCATTGATCCGGCGGAGACTTCATATTTCCCTTTTTATTACATCAATTTGTTGCACTTACGTTCGCCCTCGCAGGAACACGACCGGTCCCCTCCGAACCTGTCATAGAGCGGTCCTCACGGCGCTGTTACGGACAATCGACAGAGACCACGAGTTGGCATGGACGACGGCTGGCCTAGGACGGCCGCCGGCAACCACCCGGCCGCCGGGCTGGCCACCCACCGGGCATGGGCTGCACGATGTAGGGGCTGAGCGAGCCGAGCAGGGCGGCGCCGGTGAGGCGGGCGCGCATGGCGGCTCGCTCGCGCTCCGCACCGCCGGCCGTCGCCGCCGCCGGCCCGCCCACGTAACACTGGCTCGGCACAGCCGGGTCCACAGCGCCCGGACTGCACGGCCGGCGGGTCTGTGAGAGGGAGAGGACGCCGGTCAGACGCCCCCGTACCGGGGGCATCGCGGCTCACGTGTCCACACACGGGCGCGTGCCAGGCCAGGCGTCTGGGCACGGAGGGGCAGCAGCCCGATCGCAGCGTCCACAGAGTACTGAGCTCACCGGATCACAGAGCACTGAACTCACCGGATCACAGAGCACTGAGCTCACCGGACCACACGGTCCAGCTCTCGTTAAGGCCAGTCAGACGGGCATAATAGCACATGCCTACAAGCCACCGTAATGAGGCACTGACGAAGATTATCGGCAGCGTGGCCTGGTATTGTTCAGCTCCCAGAGTTCGCACGAGGAACTACAAATAGTGACAGCACGCGGTAGCCACTGACACCTGGCGGGGTCGTCTGCGCCGCGCACAGGCAGCAGCGAGCGCGACACGGCCTGCCGGCGCAGGCGCGCCACTGACCAGGCGGGGGGGCGGCCAGCAGCAGGCCGGGCTGATGGCCATCTTGGTGGGCTGCATCAGGATGCACAGCCAGGAGGCGATGTGCGGACACGTGGCCGTCAGCAGCGTGGCGAGCGACGTGCGGCTGACCAGGCCGGCCCACGCCTGCAAACAGAGCGGGGCCACTCCGGCGGCCCACCCCCCCCCCAACAGAGAGCGTCACTGCGGACACGTAGCCGTAAGCAGCGTGGCGAGCGACGTGTGGCTGACCACGCCGGCCCACGCCTCCAAACAGAGCAGGCAGCGTCATTGCTGTACGCGCGGCACGTCCTCAGCACCCCGCGCACGCCACCAGATGCATCTCTCGACCGTGCCATCGTGCCGTCTCGCTGCAGGGGCGCGGCCCAGACGTTAACGCAGCTTGTGTCTGACCTTGACCAACAGGTCCAGTATGGCAGCTTGGTCCTCCAGCAAGGCGCGCTGGAAGGTGAGGCGCAGCGCCATCTGAATCACCTCCGCCGACCACGTCTCCAGGTCCTGGCGGTCAGATGGTGGCGTCACACAACCCGCCGCGAGACGCCACATTCAGGCGGCCGGCGCAGAGCACAGTCTGGAAGATGCGTACAGAACGGACCGCCCTCAGTCATACCCTATACAAGGATAAGACCAGGCTGAATCAGTTCACCTGGCAAAACCAGCGGAATCGCAGCGATAAGCTTGGATGAGACTCAGGTGAAGACAATCAATTTTGGCCGACATTTTCGGATACGTTCCCTAAATCATAGCCAAACAGCATTCCAAGCGCGTAGCATAAGCCACATTCCCAGCTGGTTTCTGCACAACCTTCGACACAAAACCCTTCCCAGCACCCACAGACACGAAAAGGCACCAAAACAATAGAGCATCGCCAGTGCCGTACAGTCCGGGCTGGCCGCACCTGACTGTGGACCAGCTGGCTGAGGGTGAGGGCGGCCGACCGCCGCACGCTTGACGAAGTGTGCCCCAGGAACGGCCACAGCCGGGGCACCAGCGACGGCAGCGAAGTCCTGCCAACGAAAACGTCCACAGTCATCAGCCGCATCAGCGCACCAAGCCAATCCCTACCAACCTGTTAATGACATTTTCGCTCAGCGGCGCTAAGAACAAATAAAGAGCGCGATTAACGAAAATTTAAACAAAGATAGAGAATACACGCTGGTTGGAATATGACCGTTTTACATTTGCGATGTCCCAGCTCAGTATTTTTTTTCTTTGAACATACCAAAAACCAGGGCACCGACACGGATGGCGAGAGAGAGAAGAGGGAAGAGGGAAGAGGGAAGAGGGAACAGGGGAGAGGGGAGAGAGGAGAGAGACCCCCAACACACATGCCGGATTACTTTTTCGGTGGGCTCAACCTCTGTAAGACGTTTGCTTTATCTAAATCACTTGATTTGTTCGGGTAATTCCGAAAACTGACATAACGGGTCCCAGAACGTCATCATTGTGCTGTATCGAGCCCGCCGGTGGTGTCCGGGACCGACCAGGGGCACAATTAGCTGTCGACGGAACCAGCTGTCGGCCACCTCACCTGTCGGCCACCACGTCCTGGCAGCTGAGTGTGGCCAGCAGCTCCATGACGGCCGGCGTCGAGGTCATCAGGTCGTCCAGCTCGGTCAACGAGTCCCAGAGCGTGGCCACTATGCCGGACACGGTGGCGGCCGGGAAGAGGCCGACCAGCTCGTCACAGGACGACACCAGGCAGTTGGCGGCCACGGCCGACACGTCGTCACAGGCGTCGTCCAGTCCTGTTGGCACGCGGCACTCGCTGTGGCAGCTGCACGCACCGCGCTGACGCAGGATGGTCACGGTGGGTGGGTGGTTGTATGTGTGTGTGCGTGCGTGTGTTTGCGCGCGTGCGAATGCACGTGTGCGTGCGCGTGCATCCTCGTGTGGTGTTTGCGAGTCACATGCGGCGCGAGGCGTGTCGCTTGCGTGCGTGCTTCCGTGCGAGCGGGCGTCCGTGCATGCATGCGTACTACTTGCGCGTTTGCTTATGGGCGCGTGAAAAGGGTGAGTGTGAGAGTCCGTGCGCAAAGGGAGAGAATGCGGATCTGTGCGCGAGTGCGCATGTCACGAGTGTATGTGGGCGTGCGTACGCGTGTGAGGGTGCGCACGTATGAGTGTGCTTACTCGCCGCAGGGAAGATCTAAGCAAAAAAAGCAAACAAATAATGTGAAACGCTCCTCCCACAAAAAGGGTGCCGTTCTACCCTCGGCGCAACAGGAGGGCTTCGAAACCCCACAGAGCACATGCCATTGGTGGACGCCTCCCAGCAGGCTCGACCATGCCACTTCCACAGGGGCTACCCGCGCGTGACTGAGCTGCCTGCCGTCCCTGGGACTGAGCCCGTAGCGCCGCGGCCCGCCGGCGCCAGCCGCTGCTCCAGCTGACCGGCTACACTGACCCTGCAGCACGGCGTGCAGGAGGCGGCGCAGCCGTTCGGCCGGCAGCTGGCTGCCACGCACGGCCAGCAGGTAGCGCAGCGCCAGCTGGCCGCCGTGCCGGGCCTCCCACTCCGTGCGGTCGAGCAGCGCCAGCAGCACGCCCGCCAGCTGCCAGACCGACGACAGCGGCAGGAGGCGCAGCACCGCGCCCAGCGCCTGCGCCGCCGTCTCGCGCACTGGCGCCACCACCTGGTCGCCGATGTAGTCCCCGAGCCGGTCCAGCGCCAGCAGGCGCACCAGGCGCAGCGCCAGGTCCTCCAGGCGCAGGCGCTGCCGCTCGGCCATCTGCCGGCGGAGGCCACAAACATCCGCGCGTCGTGACCACAGCTGACTAAGCGCAAGCCTTTCGTGCACTGTTGGTTCAGAGGGTACGGTCTCCAACCCAGGTAGTACCGCCGTCTGCGCGCAGCACCACTGAGACCCAACGAAAATGCTTGCTCTCGGGATGTGAGCAGCCGGCCGTCGGCGGCGGAGATGACTCCGTGTCAGTTCATCAAGTCAGGATGTCCGTGTCAGCGGCTCATCCACATCTGACGCACTACGTTGGCCGTATTCGGCCGATGATGCTGCTGAGACCACGCACATGCGGTACAGAACTGCGGTGGTGCAGCACCACTTCATCCAAGCGTCGAAAGATAACGTAGCAGCAAAGCCGACGCTGGAATCCATTGGCACCTGCCCTGCGTATCCGGCACATTCAGGATAACTTTGTGTGCCTTGGGACGCTGCTTTTCGTTGGCGGCTTGAGGTAGTTGACGGTCTGCCAACGATGGGGGCTTTACGAAACTACTGTCGCTACCGAAACGGAGAAGGAAGGTTTCCGTTGTTCTGTGCGTTACTCAAGGAACTGAACACCACCGTTGTCTCGCCGGTACAGATGAACTTGTTAGTTCTAAATGAAGCGGCGCAGTGCTGCCCTGGTGAAAATATGAATTAAGAACAGATTCAGTGGTCTTGCCTACCGAACCATAAAAACATCCTCCAAACCTTCAAAAACGTCACTGCAGGACCGTTGCCCACAGCAAACAGCTCATCGTATTTCAACACTTTTGAATTTGCCATTTCCAATTAGTAGTATCATTTTACGAATTTTTCGTTTACCTGTGCACGTTAACGACAACACCGCGTTCCCACTGCCCCTGTCAGTGGCCGACACACAGAGAGCTTTCCTCACAGTGTTATTTGTCAATATTTGGAACTAAACAAAGCTATGCTATTACAGAAAAAACCAACTGAATGCCTTCCCGATAAGATACCAGTCAACCGCACAGTTCCTTTGGCACTATTTAGAGGACATACGGATCTCAGAGCTGATCTCCGGGTCTCAGCACAGGATAGCCTCTCTTTCTCAGACTAGTTGTTCCTAATCATTAATACCCGGTTAACTACTGGTGAAAAATCGGGAGCTAGATTGAAGGGGACGACTTCGCCCACCCCCTCCCCCACATTGCATGCCAAGCCGAGTGATGGTAATTGGGTGGTTTGGGGTGTAACCACAGCTACCGGCATTTGGCGCGTGACAAGCTAAAACCTTAAGCAAAAGCCGCCGTTAACTGCACCTGTGGTGCTGCGGTGGTAAGGTCAGAACATTTCAGTACCATCTAATCTCCATTTTAATTTCAACCGTTGCGGTCGGCCCGTCTGCCTGTGTGGCCGCGGCAGATCATCTCAGAGGCGGCTACTACTCCGCACACTGTCGTCTGGCACATACAATGACACAATGAAACCTCCAGAGCGTTCTCACACTATGGAAATCGCTTCTCCACTGGATTATCGCAAGCGTCCTGTGCGGTTTGACGGGTAGTGCCGTTTGTCACGTCCCTGGAGCTGACATTTAGACGCGACCGGTGCCACGTTCAACGGGCGGCTTATGACGGCACCGAGCCGGCATCGTCCACTTCGGCACCGATCAAGCGCTGCCTCACGATGTGATAATGAGGATCTACACGGGATTGCGTCAGTCCAGTGCAGATCCTCATTACGTTCAGTGCAGCGCTCGTGAGGATGCACTGAACGGCTTGCTCAATGCACGCTAGGCTCGCATGTCACTAGCCGAGTACCGGCATACGCCGTCTCAGCCGAAACTCAGACATTACTTCAGCCATGGCCGTACGTACTCCGCGCAGTCACATCATTTTTCATTCGGTTCCTTTTCGGTGGGGGGCGCGTTTATCACAGTACAGCGTGACAATGCGAGTCGGGAAGCGCATCCTTATCGGAACGCGCGGCGGAAGGACCTAATAGGAACAAACCGCCCTAGGATTGGCTGTTCTGGCTACTGTACAGTAATACTAGCCCACTATGACATATCCCTACAGTCAATGCAGTGCCTGCGCCACCGTCGACTAACAAATCATGCGTGGTTTGTTCGCCGCTGTATTGCGCTTGCGTTTGCGGGTGCAGCACTATGCACTTGATATTCGAGTCCATCGCGCGCGTCGCTAGAAATGCTCTTTAACAAGTTGCACCACACCATTTGCGATGCGCTCTGCCAAACATACCTGCTGTTGTGAGAGGCCCGGCTGCCGGCCGGCACCGGAGCCGTGCACCTTGAGCGTCTCGCGCAGCGCGGTGACGGCGCCGTGGCGCACCTCCCACTGCGGCGACATCAGGTCGTCGCAGAGCAGATCACACCAGCACTCCAGCGGCCACTCGTCACTCTGAAACGGCCGCGGCCGGGAACGACGTCACGCGGCTGTCGCCGGCAGCGCTCGCCTCCAGCGCGCCGGAGACGCCCGGCGAGCCGGCCGCCGCCAGACAACCAGCCACACACGGCAGTCAGGACCTGCGCCATGTCACACCACGCTCGGGCCTCCACCGCTGACGGGCGAGGGTCTGGAGACGCGCGCTCACCTCGTCCCACCGCTCGACGCTGATGTAGGAGGACAGCTGACGCCTGGGTGGCACCGGCGAGTCGTTGCGGGCCAGCTTCGCGGCCGGCTCTCCGGACCCTGCGCGGCCCACACCCACGCGTCACCGGCACGACTGCACGGACCACGCCCGGGCCGAGTCACGGTCACAGGGGCCAGTCAAGCACAGGACGCAGATGGAAGGCAACATCAGTCATATACAATTATTTGGAAGTGGTCGAAACAACGCAACCTTGCCTCGCGTTCTGACTATGGGAAGTCGCCCGCCAAGCGGAGGAGGGAGGGGCGAATTTAAATGGTGATTTGTGGTGGCCTTACATCCCCTACAACAAAATCAAATGCACAAAAAAAATAAGCCGAAGTCCTACGTGACCTGTACATTAAGACATGTTTGCATCATCTCTCGGTGTCGACTGACCACAACCGATGCTGTCAACGGGCGAAAAATAATGTGATGGGTTGCACGGGTCTATGTGCTAACGAGAGTTTAGGACAGGAATGCTTCCCAAAACCTCTAATTACATGCTTCGGTTGGTCGCATCACGCAAGCACATGCTCGACAGTCGTTTGGTGGCCCGCTAACAGGCGATTATGCTGCCGCCGAGGTCGGATCACACAACACAAGACGTGACCAGGCCTCATCCCAGCGCTGCGAACGCTCGGCCGGCTGGACAGAGCCCATGTCAGGAGCATAGTGACCGTGACTAGTGGCCGTGACTAGTGACTGTGACCAGTAACTGTGGCTAGTGTCTGTGGCTAGTGTCTGTGACCAGTGACTGTGACCAGTTACTGTGGCTAGTGACTGGCTAGTGACTGTGGCTAGTGACTGTGACCAGAGATTGTGACCAGTGACTGTGCCTGTGACTAGTGACTGCGACTAGTGACCAGTGACTGTGACTAGTGATCAGTGACTGAACGAGACTGTAACCAGTGACTAGTGACCGTGACTAGTGACTAGTGACCGTGACTAGTGACCAGTGACTGTGACTAGTGATCAGTGACTGCGACTAGTG